CGTTTCGATAATAGCTCTAATCACCCACAAAAATGTTAAGCTTTCTTTTGCTAGACTTATTCAAGGAGAGACTAAAAAACCATCCCACAAGTAAGGCTTGAATTTGGATTCCTGCATGGGGCATTGGGTTGAATTTGGTGTCCAACTCTAGAATTCTATAGTACATAATTTGAATTTGAAAATTTATTTATAGGCCGCCCTTTTCCCTGGGGGGACTCAGGGCGGCTCACAACTCATAGGGAGGGGGATACAAACAATAGCACATAAGAGAAATACATAATTAAAAGTAAAGCACAACATTCATACCATTCGGGTATGGTTTGGAATAATGACATGGAAAACTAGGCAACAATTACAATCATTTTTAAGCTACAAACCTATCTATGCAATGATTTTATTCTCCTATCTGTAAATGCCTTTCTGAAAATTTACAGCAATACAGAAGAAAATGGAAAGACAGCTCAGTTCTGTGAATGGATTTCATTGAAGTCTACTTTGAATAAACTCAACACTGTGTTATTCATCACACCATTAGAACCCTTATATTTTTTAGGTGCTTTGCTGGAATATAGTGCAACTTAGATGATCTAGGCCCCAGCCCTGGAGTAATTTCTGTAATACTACAGTTTATATACAGAATTTCATTGCAGACTAATTATATTTCACAGCTTTGGTAAATCAAGATTACAATCTCCTTTCCATTTTCTGTTCAACTTGTTTATTACTTCGTTGCAGATCTTGTTCAGCAATGGAAAAACACTGAACACAGTATGGAGAGATACTTTCTAAGTATTTCAAATGAATAAGTGCAGGGATGTATGTCTATTCTATACACTCCCTCTCTATACAAATGCAAATTATTCATACTTAAATATTGTATATAAAATCATTCTGGGTATTAATCCCCACATACATTAGAAACTCTCGTTTAGTTAAGTTCTTTGCAAAATCTATAGTTCTAAATGTATATGATAACCGTGCATATTTTGTAGTTTTCCCTGGCTATACTGAAGCCTAAATAATCTCACAAGTGAACAATACTTCAGGCTATGCAAATATTTCTGATTCTTAACTTTGCCAATCATTTCCATAATATAATTATATCAAGAAGCAATTTTAATCAATTTCAATTTTAAAACAAAAGATGATTAATCAAATAGTTTTTCTCTGGTTAGTTTCAAATTTATGAAACAGAAAATACACTTTTTCTTTTACCTTCTAAACAAAGTTACTCAGAAGTAGGTCTTGTTCTGTTTACTTACATTTGTGGACTTGTCATTTTCTGTCATTTTTTTGGCTTGCTATGTTCTTTAGAAACGATCCAAAAATTTTTGTTCCTGTTTTTATACATTCACATAAGAAACAAAAAGGATAAGAATAAAGAGGGGATGTCATGAAGAGCATAATCTTTGAAAAACACCAGCTAGACCTCACCCTTGTATATAGCTGAGTCACAATAGTCAGTATCTTCAAAACACAACCAGAATAGTAAGAATGAAGCTCAGTTGCTTTGCCTTCTCTCCCAAGGATCAACAAAAAGTTTAGTTTAGTTTAGTTTTAGTTTAGTTAATTTATTAGGATTTGTATGCCGCCCACTCTCGAGAGACTCAGGGCGGCTTACAGATAAGGCAGGAAGGGGGAACATATAAAAAATTAAAAAGTAGTTTTTGCATGGTTCTAACCATAACATAGCACCATCCAAGAAAAAATCTCTGAGAAGATGATGTCGTCTGTAAATCAATACTTGGAGAATATTGTGCCATATAATGAAAGATTTTGGTGGTCTCCATTCAGACACATTCATGTTTCCAACAAAGGGTCTCTTCTCTTCAGGACACAATAAACAGTATAATTAAATATGTGATCAACCAGCTACAATTCCAATGTCTTTATGAACTTGCTTTTCAGATATTGCAATCATATGGATGAAAGATGAACAAGCTTAATACCAATGTGATGTAATGGTAAATAAATAATGGAGATTATATTCATGGAATGTGCAATTGGAAATGTTAATTTCCAATTGCACATTGGAAATTAAACTAAACTATTACAGAATCCTGGAGCAAACTGAATGGTTTTAGGGGAGATTCTGCACATACTGTTTGACCCATTGCCAGTAGAGGTCACTTCCTGTGTGAGGAAGTAATGTCATCCTCCTCTTCCCACACTCAGCCTATTGCATGTGGACTCTGCGCCTGAATTTTCAGCTTTGGTTCAAAAATCCTCTTTTCTGGCCCAAACTGTGTTAAGCCCTTCCAACTCTTTTTGCTGTTCCGCTAACAGCCTCAGATCCGTTGCAGTGCCTTGCAATTCCGCTTCCCTGCACATCCATTTTGCTCTGGACAATGTTCTCTGCTGGACAGCAGTTGCTGGTTTTTTTTAATCATCTTATGTTGATTTTTCAATCTTCAACCCTAGAAGCTTCATTCAATCCTTAATCTCTCAGTAGGCACTGCTTCCATTTTTGCCCAGATTGGGAGAAGCAAACTCCCCTTACTTTCCCACCCCACTGCAAATGCCCTCTTTCTTTTCCTTTCATTTCCCCCCACGAAGGATCTTTAAGTTGTAAGGTAGGAACATTCCGTGAAACTAAACTCAGTATAGGACAAAATTCAGCAGTCCATCTGCTTTTAAAAGACAAAGGCCACTCTTTTGAAGACAGCAAAGTCCACATTTGGGACAGAGAGGATCACTGGTTTGAAAGAGGAATCAAAGAGGCCATCTATGTCAAAATTGAGTAGCCTTCTCTCAACAGAAGAGGAGGATCTATTTCCAGTCTATAACACAGTCCTTTCAATAGTTCCAAGAAGCCTCCACACCCGTTTGCACTACTCGGGTGACCCTGATGAGAAATAAACCTCCAGGTGGCCTTGATTACTCTCCAAAAGAATGCAAATGACCATCTGTCTTCAAGTAGTACAAATCTTTCCATTCCCCACCATCCAGTCAGAGCTGAAGAAGTTTCTTGGATGAAAAGTGAAACTTCGCAACTTTGCAACTTTAACAAAATTTGTATGCCACCCACTCCCTAGGGACTCTGGGCGGCTTCTTCTTTGAAGAAACATCTTCAAAGAAAAAAAAATCAGGAAGTCCAGTTGCCTATTGAAAAAAGCACCTTTGGGACAACCATGACCTGGATGACTGAGAATCTCCAGAGACACTTATACTGAGTATCGGAGTCTCAATGATACGAAAAGAGGAAAAGGTGTTTATAGAGGATATAATGTGGAAAGATAGCTGGCTGTGCTTACATGGACAATCATTTTCATTGGGACTGACAATGATCTCAAGCAGTTGGGCGTGCACATACATGTGTTGACAGCTATGACGTGCTTTAAAAGCAGTCCCTGGAGCCTTCCCAAAAGAACTGCGGCATTAGCACTTTTTTGTGCTAACCAACTTTATGAAATAGCTCTCCTTTCAAATGCTTTACATCTTGCTTGGCCAGATTTGATAGCAACCATGATTCTGAACGAAACCTTTGTCTGATAAAATGGTCCATTCCTTGACACCAGGATTATCTGTGAAGTGATAGATTTGTCAAATAATTTTTATTTCCTAACCTTGACACCAGGATTATCTGTGAAGTGATAGATTTGTCAAATAATTTTTATTTCCTAACCTATTGTTTCACAAATATAATTATATAATTATATATAAAATCTATCCATCCCCCCATCTCTATCTATCTCAGTGGTGGTATTAAATTTTTTTTACTACTGGTTCTGTGGGTATGGCTTGGTGGGTAGGGCAAGGAAAGGTTATTGCAAAATCCCCATTCCCTCCCGATCAGCTGGGACTCGGGAGGCAGATAATAATGGGGGTAGAGCCAGTCAGGGTTGGTATTTACTGGTTCTCTCAACTACTCAAAATTTCCGCTACCGGTTCCCCAGAACTGGTCAGAACCTACTGAAAGCCACCTCTGGTGTGTTTGTGTGTGTGTGTGTGAGAGAGAGAGAGAGAGAGAGAGGGAGAGTAGAATTATCAATTATGTATAAATTCCACTGGTTTAAAATAAAACAGTGTTTTGAACTCTGGGAATGTTCCGAGAGCAGTGGTTCTCAACCTGTGGGTCGGGACCCCTTTGGGGGTCGAACGACCCTTTCAAAGGGGTCACCTAAGACCATCGGAAAACACATATTTTCGATGGTCTTAGGAACCAAGGCACCAATTTTATGGTTGGGGGTCACCACAACATGAGGAACTGTATTAAAGGGTCATGATATTGGGAAGGTTGAGAACACTGTCCTAGAGTGTTGGGCTTTTTCACTAGGAAAGAAAATGGACCTGCCATTTGGAAATGTCGGTTGAGACTCTTGCTCAAAGCAACTCCTAATTCTTTTTCATTGAAGGACCTCACAGCACAGGTTCCACTCCCCAATTCACCTTGGAGGAAAGTACTAAACTTGAGTTGGATTAGTAGTTGAATGGGAGACTACCAAGAAATCACGGGGACGTAGACCAGACTAGGAAATTTAAATTTAAAGAGGGGAGCAAATCAGTTTTGTATACTATAACAAAATTTCATGGACTTGTGCGTGCCCACACGAACATACACGTTGGATAGAAAAGACCAGGGGAGGGGGAATCACTGCCTTTGCCTCCACCTTTCAGGACTCAGAGAAATCCTTTCTCTGCTTTCCTGTCTTTTCCTATAAAAGAGTCTGAAGGGAAGAAGCAGCGTCTGCTCCATACGCGGGGTTGGGAGATCCCAGATGTAGGAAGCCGGACACGGCCGCTAAGGCCAGGATTCGTACAGAGCAACTCGGGATAACTGTAAAGCCAAGAACCTTTGCGCAGCCGCACTCGCACCCTCCGCGGGACAGGACAGAACAGGTAGGAAGACGGGAGACACCGACGAAGAACTCTAGGAAAAGCGTGAGCGCCGGCTTTGCCTGCCCGTTTGAATGACGGCGCCTGCTCTGACTCGTTGCCCGACGAAGCAATGGCGTATCTCCCTTCCAGTCCGCCCGTGACGTCACTGGCCTGTTAGATCACCTGACCCGCTGTTCAACATGGCTGCGGCCATCAAGCTCGATGGCATCGGGAAGGAGAGCTTGCGCAGAAAATAGTAAAACTGTTTTTGGGGGTTCTCCCAGGTGAGTCAGGCTGGAGGCGAGAGCAGTTACCTCTTTTACAAGGCGGAGATTTGAGGGATCAAGGGGACCGTGAGAGATCACGCTCCAAGACCGAAGCAGCGACTTTCATGTCTGGGAAAGTTTTGCAAGGGCTGCTCTCATCAAAAGAGACGGCGCGTCCATCAGCAAATCCAGACGGGCAGACCTTCCCCTGTTATTGCCTGCGTTTGCTGTGATGCAGACGGCGGCTTACTCATGAGGGCGCGGCTTCGAAAAGTTTTTGAGGTAGTCAGACCCCAGTGGGGCATTGCTTAATGTCAAAGCTCTACAGTATTCCTCCTTTGCCTAGGTGTAGGACCACCCGAACTGGCTGCGGGAGTCTGGACGACCACTAGATGGCAGCCAAGAGCCAGAGGAAAAACAAGTCTTTATGGGAGCTAACCAGTCTGCTAGAGTTAGAGGACTTATTTCAGAGTACTTGTTGAAGAAGTGGAAATCATGTGAATTGGATACATTTAGACCTCAGGAAGGATAGATGCCTGGAAATTTTGATTTAATGAGGACTTTAAGTTACAATTTCTCCTAATTGCAAAAATAATATTGCAAACGTTGTTTGTACACACTTTCCCAGCAGAATTAGCTAAGTAGTTCTGCTGAGGGAAATGAGTAGTATGTAAACAAGGATGTTTTTGCAAGTTATTATTGATTTTTGGTGCAGATTTTGGCAGAGTCAGGATTTGGAAAGTTGGTAAATGACTGGGGAATCAGTCAATAAAGAAACTTTTCTCCACCTGCTGAGCTACAAGGGAGAGTGGTGAATTTAGAATTTTAAATAAAAAAACAATTACTGTAGTTTTCTAGCTGGCTAAAACGTTTGAGAAAGACTAAAGTTCTTTTTTTCCTTTTTCCAAAATCTTTTCATTTTAGGAAATACATTGTAAGCAACAGCTGTATATATATATGAAATATATTTAAAAGTAGGAGCTGATGAATCAAGGTTTTGCCTTTTGAAGCAGGAAAATGTATCCATTTGGTAGGGAGGAAGCAGCATCACTTGAACGACTCTTCTGGTTCTTCTCTGAATGTATGCAAAGGGGAGACTGGGAACTTGCACGGGCCTGTGTCCCTCAGTTACAGCAGTTGCAAGATGATGGCTCTGAAAAGGTTGAAAAAATCCTTCATGCCCTGATAATCTGCCCTTCCCGTTTGAGGTAAGTTATATTCAATCACAAATGGGTGAAAATAGTGTGAAAAGAGGATTTCATCATTTATAACATGTAATAATGCAATCCTGTACATGCATATGGACAAGTAATTTTTAATTGCTTTCAGTGTGATTGCTTACCTTGCAGGTAGATTTTTAATGTTATAGCCTGAAATTATTTTTCATGTTGTTCCATGTAGACCAGCTAAAATTTATTTTGAATTTAACGTGCATATTGTGGTTAGAGGCAGAATGAGCAGTCTTTCTGATGCTTAGCACTAATGTGGAATATTTTTCAGGAATTAAAGGAACTCCAGAGTTTTAAATCTGCTGGTGGTGCTAACATACTGATATTCACAAGATTTGAATACTACTGCATCTTCGCTTTTAAATGGTTTACTACATTTTTAGAGTACATAAAATTTGGAAGCTAATGGAACACATAGGGAAATCACTTTCCTGGTGGTTACCCTGGAAAAATATTTTCCATTGTTTTATTCTCAGAATTAAATTGGATCAATTGCTGCAGATTTTCTAAAAGTTATGGCAGATGGAAGAAGTCCAAGTGACTGAGATCGTAGAAAGTTAGGAAGAGTGAGATTACAATGTGTGCTTATTTAGCTTGCGGTGAAATTGTGGGAATTACAGTTTTCTGGACTATTGTGTAATTCCTGCTATGGTTGCAGTTTAAAACATGATTAAGAGTTTTTTTTTTAAAAAAACATATAGTATATAAATGTATTCTTGATTACATGTTATTTTTGTAGGAGTGAATCAAAGCACAGTCCTCAAAAACTTGCTTGGTTTTGGCTGCTTGTATTGCAGGAATGGCTATCACACAAACAGGTAAAGACAAACATTTTAGTCTTATGTAGAAAAATACTATATCCAGGATAGAACTAAATTTTGCAGTAGCAATGAAATATAAGAATCAACTTTGGAGTAATTACAATAATAAGTCTTAAGACTTTTTTTCAATTACCCTACGCCAAATAAGTCAACTAAACTAGTGCTGGCTAGGAAGAAGCTCAGCAAATAATTCTGAACAATGCAAAGGAAAATGGATTGCAATCAAAATAGGCATATTGCATTCTTACTTAAATTGCTTCAATAGAAAAAAATGCATTTTTTTTTTAAAAAGGCTGCAATTTAGTGTAATGGTTAAGTCATCAGGTTAGTATCCAGGAAACCATGGACACAAGCCTTAGACACAATGCCAGCTGAGTAACCTTGCATCAGTCATTCTCAGCCCTAGGAAGCAGGGAATGGTAAATCACTTCCAAACTCTTGCCATAAAACCTCAGGGTCTTTTAGCAGTCACCAGAGGTCAACGGCAAAAATACCCTCTAATAATATAATTACTGTATCAATATACAATACTCCTATAATGTAATTCTCATAATAGAATACACTCTTGAATTTTTGCAAAGGTGCTCATATTTTTAAATTGTATTGCTCCTGTGCATTGAAAATCAGTCTAACATGCAATTCCTGACTGCAAAGCTGCCATCGCAGATTCACCTCTTCACTTAATGAGAAATTGAGCAGTTTTCTAAGTTAATTAAATAATCTGGGAGTAGCAAACATAATTTCCCCAACTATATGCATACCTAAAATCAGTGGAACCCTTGAATCTGAGCCAAACGTGGGTTCATATACCAGTAAGTAGTTGAGGGAGCAATTGCAAATAAAACTGCAGTCCATTTGTTTAGAGAAATATCACGGTAGATAGATATTGCTGGGTGTTAAACATCTGAAACTATATACCACAATGTATGTATCAATTCTTATTTGTACTTGCTATATTTTTCTTACATTTTCTTATCTGTTCTTTAATAATTCTAGAAAACTGTCCCAGCAGTTCTCCAAAGAGAAACTGAATTCTTGCTTCTCCTAGAAGAACTGGAAAAGGATGTCCCATTTGGTGTTTTAAAGGTGTGGTTCCTTTTTAAAGATAACAGGTTGTTTCCACTGCAGACATGTCTGAACACAGTATTTAGTGCATACAGGCTGGATGTGAATTCAGAACACTAATATAATATGAACTTTGCTGGATAGACAAGAGTGCTAATTTGTTCAGTGTTACACTTACTGTAAAAATGTAAGTGACCAACCAAGGGAGCCTTCTACTGTAGGCTTTGAGGATATCAGGATCCTCCTACATATTTCTTTGAGGATCCATTGTTGAGAAATACAATGCCTCTGATACAAGAAAAAATTATGGCCACCTTGCATATCACTAGCAACTGATGGCTCCCTAGATTTATCTTGACTTTTCAAACTGTTAGATAATATTATATCATGTGATAGTGACTCATAGACCTTGACTGCACAATGTTAATAAGTAATTTTTTTAATCTGTTCTGTTCTGATCTTCCACAGTTCAGTTCAACCACAGCTCTAGTTAGTATTTTGAGAGAGGGAAAGAAATGTTTTTCTTTCTATTTTGTCTATTGTGTGTAACATTACCTGTCCAATGTTACCTATTACACATCTTCTTATATGCCATCTGCATTCCATATATAAGTCTTTTTCATAAGGAAGTTGTTTTAGCCTTTTGATCGCTTTGATTGCCTTTTCCATATATTTACTTTTAGTACTTTATTGTTCAAAGTGCAGCAATCAGAATTTTCAAATGCTGTTGCACAATGGAATTATATTGACAGTTCTATTTGTTTTTGTTGTTGTTGTTCCTTTTCTTAATACTCTTTATATTTGTCTCTGGAACTCTGCACTTTAATATGGCCCAGTGGCTAATCAATAAAATAAACTTAAACTAATAATCCTCAACATATTTGTCCTTTTCAACAGCAATTCAATTCTATCCAAAGTTTTAATGCGAAAGATTATTATGACAGCTACATTTGATAGGCCATGAAATAACTATAAAATCAGGATGGATTGATTGCCTGGTTACTTAGATCACCAAGAGAGGCCTTTTTCAATAGCCTCTCACAGTCAGAAGTTTATGTTTCTGGATTTGTTTCTGTGTCGTCTCCAGGTTATAGAATATTCTTCTCCTGTTCTTATATGCAGCAGAATAGCAAACCCTACCTCTTTTATTAAGCATTTAACTGAATTATTTTAGTGTGACTAATTGCCACAGCAAGGACAGTGACACCACTTTCTTCTGGGTGTTTCTTTGATACTCAGTTATTTATCCCAATATCCCTACATCTAATCACAGTGTTGTTTTCTACAGTGTAATATCCTGAAGGATTGAGTTAGAATTCTCATTAATTTCAAACCACTATCTGAATATTATAGTCCAGCACATTTAGATGGTGCCAAACTCAGAACTATCATCCTATCAATATCATTCATGTTAAATAACCGTGAATGCAAAATTAGTAGAAGAACTAAGTGGTTCCCTTTGTAATACCGTCTGGTACCATGAAGATTTCTTGTTGTCCTGGAGGGAATCAAGTAAATTTTCAATTCATCTTTCCACTTTCCTCTTTGATATTGTATTGGTACCTTTGGGAATAAGGAGACCAGAGGCTGTCTCATAATCATAGGGCTGGACCAGGGGATCCAGCTAACTGCAACATTATCAACTGCCAAATAAATAGGTGTTTACAGGTACTTTCTGGTTTCTACATGTCCCAAAGATGCTTTTTTTGGAGGTAACTGGACTTTCTTGGGTTTTTTAAAAGACATTTCACTTCTCATCCAAGAAGCTTCTTCAGCTCTGACAGGATAGTGGGGAATGGTCCAGTTGCCTCCGGAAAAAGCACTTTTGGGGCAACCATGACCTGGATGACTGAGAATCTCTACAGACTTTTGGTTTCTACATGATATGGGCTTTTTCTCCTTTCTACTGAGAAAATGCATTTGACCATTAACATGTATTTGATATAGGTTTCATATATAATATATTTATGGAAGAAAATGTTCTTATCTAGCTATTTTTCCCCCTTAAGGAACTTTATGAAGCATTTGAGGACAATCATTTGTTGCATAGGAAACAAAGAGATGGATCAGTACAGAAATTTGGTGTGGAGCTGATGTCTACTCTTCAAAAAATGCTCTTGCAGGCTCCCCGGAAATTGCAATCGATACTGGAACTACTTCAGCGTGATCCTGTGGAATGTAGCTCTTCAGTAATACAAAGTGGCTTGCCACAGAACATTTTTGTCGGCTTCCTTTGGGATTCACTCAAATGTTTGAAGCGTCTTCAGCTAAATCCAGAATTACTGGAGAGAGAGGGGAATAAAGTCACAGATGAAATCTATAACGCCCTGAGTATGTTGAATTTGAAGGTGGACAATCAGACGAGAGAGTTAAGGCTCCTCTGCAGAGAACTTCTGGATGCTTGTTGGTTTGAGCAGAGTCCTCTTAGAGAGGAGAGGCTACTCAGCTGCATGTTACGAAAAGACAGCCATGCCTTGCTTAGTCTCTTTGGCAGTGTATTTATTGAGAAGATGAAAGAAAAACTGTTGAGTCAAAAGTTACCAGGCAAAGGTTGGTGTGGTTGTATACTCTTGAATTCTAACTGCACGTTATGGCTAAGGGGCATTGTCCAGCCCTCGCCAGGATTCTGTGTGGTCCCCATCCCTCCAGATCATCTGAATTGATGCTGAAAGGCTGACGAATCGGCAGCCATTACTGGAGCATTAGAAGCCACTATTCAGTGAGCAGATGAAGAGCTGGATGACAGGAAGGATTTGATGATTTCACAGGAAGAGCTAGAGCTTATTTTTTCCCCACCTATTTTTGGGGGGGAATTAAGGATGGAATAGACAGGAAGTCATTTCAATTTCTATGCTGTAATCNGGCCCTGCGCTATAAGCGAGCCCGGGATCCTTGCAAGGCTGCAAAAGTTCACCGGACTCGCTTATAGTGCAGGGCCGCGATAGGTGGCTCCAGCTGGCCTGCCCCCCTCTGCCCCGCGCTTAGTTGCAGCTTACTTGCCTCCTTAGTGTCGGCAGGCAGCAATAGAGAGCCAAGCAGGAAAAAAGGTAAGTGGGTTTAGATAGGGCTCTTAGAGGCGGGCGGGGCAATTGGTGAACCAGCCAATCAGTGAGCGGTGGGCGGGGCAAGCATCGTGCGGATGGGTGCGGGGAGCGAGCGGCGGGTGGGCGGGCAGGTAGAGAGAACAAGGAGTGGGCAGCGGCTGGAATCGGTTCTAAACAGCACAGTAGATTTGTGGAACCTCTTCTACCGAACTGGATAGAACCGGCAGGAATCCACCCCTGCTGACATCTGACTTGTATTTATAACAGTTGCAGCATCCTGTGGTCACATGATTGCCATTTCTGATCTTCCCAGGGGGCTTCTGACAAGCAAAGGGAATGGAAAAAGCTGGATTCACATAATAGCCATATGATTTACTTAACAACTACGGTGATTCACTTAACACCTGTTAAAGTGGCAAAAAGTTGTAGAATTGGATGCGACTCAGTTAATGACTGCATTGCTTAGCAGTCCGATCCCAATTTGTGGTCATAAGTCAAGGATTACTGTAACTTTGTTTTAACTGTTCTAAACATTAATGTAATTTTCCTGTATGGGATTTGGACAAAGTAATTTACATATGTCCTAGTACATAATCTCAAATGTAGAATTGAGACTAAAGTCACTATGTTATTTGGAGATAATGTTAGATGCTATGATAAAAGATAAAATATTTTTCAAAGTCTATTTTTGTATACTAGATAAAGTAGGGATTATAGCAGAGAATATCAAATGAGCTTCTTAATTAATATACGTTATTTATAGCACAAAATCTTCTGAAATAATCTTTATGACATAGTGAAAAAAGCATAATAAAAAGATACATTTCTGCATGATCCCCTCTCTGATCTGTCAGTCTTTGATATAGAAGTACTTATCATTAAGATGGGAAATGTTAAAATCAGATTATTGCACACACATATTGTGTTCTATAATTTATTGTATTAAACCTGAGAGGGGTGGGAGATCACAAATAAATAAATCAGCACTGAATCTGCTCTAGGGTGTAAGATTAATTAATTGTGTTTGACATTTTTCAATATTTAATTTTTTTCCACCTAAAACAAGATGATAAATATGTACATTTTCCCCCAAATCCACTTGTAACAGTTGCGGAATATGTCTTTAGAACTTAATGTGTTTTTTTTTTAAAGAAATCCTGTTTTTAAAAGATTGAAGGAATATTTTACAAAATCCCAAGAGAGTGTTCCAGTTAAATTATGATTAATCACAGACAGTTCGACTACATTCCCCTGTTTATTCAATCATTATGTGTTTAGATGTTTAATTATTATTTGGAGGTGTTTGATGTGCATTTGGTGACGTATACTCATCCATAACCATTTTTCCTTTTGTGTAATGTTAGAGAGAGAGAGAGAATGCATAATATAAGGCCAAATTTATTTTTATGTGTTCTCAAATCTGCAGGTTGTCTTTGCTGCTAGCTAAAGAAGAACTGAACTTAAATGTGCAGCAAGTGATTATCAACTATTGCTGTAAGCCACTGCCTCTCTGCACCAACATGCAAAGCAACCAGACGAGATCCCTTTTGACAAACATCAGTAGCCTAGCACATTTGCACGCCTATCATTGTCTGCCAGATATTGAGGTTCCAGTGCATAATCCAGCCATGGAGTCTGAGAACACTTCGAGCAATCCCCTCTCTTCTCTGCCTGAACTTAACCAACACTCACTCACCGCTTCCACCCTCAATTTTCTGAAATCCCAGTCAAAACTCATAGCTACCCTGGCTTGTCTTACTGCCTTAAAAGTGCCAAAGCCACCCAAACAGAGTTTATCGTGGATTGAATTCCGAGGGAAAAGGGAAGCACCCTTGTCTATGGATCAGATTTCCAAAGAGTGTGAAATATTGTTACAGGAATTCCCCTTCCTAGAAACTTTTCTCCTTACAATGTTCGAGCCTCTACAGGATCCTCAGGATAAAGAAATCGTTTTGGCTAGCGAGCTTTGTGGACACTCACATATCTCGTTGCTTTTCCTGGGATTGCATTCCTCCATGGCTGTTGAAGTGTTAATGGAGGCCTTTGAACGAGCTCTCACGGCAAGGGATTGGTCCAGGGCCCTCAAAATCTTGGATTTCTACAGCCAGGATATGCAAGAGCTGGTCACTGTACAGGATGCTGTTTTGAGTTGTGCCACAGCTGATGGTAAAAATCTATACTCTTTCTGTAAATAATAGTGTTTTGGATATAAAGTTGCAAATGAGTGATTTAAGCTTCTAGCTTTTGAGGGAAAATGCATTAGCTAATAGCACTTAGACTTATATACCCCTTCATAGTGTTTTTACAGCCCTTTCTAAGCGTTTTACAGAGTCAACATATTATCCCCAACAATCTGGGTCCTCCGTTTACCCACCTCGGAAGGATAGAAGGCTGATTCAACTTTAAGCCAATGAGATTTGAACTGCCAAACTGCAGCTAGCAGTCAGCTGAAGTTGCTTATAGTGCTGCACTCTAACCACTGCGCCACTTAGGCTCTATATTCATTCAGCCGTAAAATCTAGCAACGGGCTCATTCTCTATCAGATGATCTGGTTGAGGTGGCAAGGAGAAGATAAAGGACATATGAAAATAAATTCCTTCAATTATGCAGGATCGAATCTGGGTCGGTCACCGGGACCAGAGGTTTTGTCTTCCGAGCTTTCAGGCTCATGTTGGAGCTCAACCTCAGGGAACATCTGTCTAGCAGGGTTTGTCTGCTAGAGAGTTGTTCCCAGAGGATGGGCTCCAGCGCATGTTCGAAAGCTCAGAAGACAAAACTCATGATCATGGTGACCGGTCCCGATTGGATCCTGCAACATGTATAATTGCCTTCATTCCTTCAGTTATTTTTGTTTTATAAAAAGAGAGAGGCATACTGCTGTTAATGAAGGAGGAAGCTACAATCGATCATATATTTTGCATTGGGGACCCAGGTGAAATCTCTGGCATTTTCAGGCACAATTAGGAAAGAAACCTTTAGGAATAGAGATGTTAGTTCCTGCATCCAAAACTAAACTCATGAGCAAGTGGTTTGTGTAAGAAAGTTTTCTATGTTCCTAATCATTGTTAGGCCTCAATTGAAGAATTGAGGCCTTTGAACTATGGTGCTGGAGAAGACTCCTGCGAGTCCCTTGGACTGCAAGGCAATGAAACTGATCAGTCCTAGAAGAGATCAACTTTGACTGCTCTTTAAAATGCCAAATCCTGAAGAGGAAACTCAAATACTTTGGCCACTTAATGAGAAGGAAGGACTCACTGGAGAAGAGCCTAATGCTGGGAAAGATTGAGGGCAAAAGAAGAAGGGGACGACGGAGAATGAGGTGGCTGGATGGAGTCACCGAAGCAGTAGGCGTGAGCTTAAATGAACTCCAGAGGATGGTAGAGGACAGGAAGGTCTGGAGGAACATTGTNAAATTGGCCATTTTGTTCTTGAATTTCAAGGGGACGACCATAGTATGCTGGGGAGAACTTCATGAAAGTTAAGGGGGTCCATACCTGATATAATAATTTGAAGAGGACTAAACTCTGGTCCCTTAGACAAAGTAAGAAGTGAATATATTTAGATCAGCTGAAGAAATCAGTTGCTGGTCTAAGGAAGAATAGTGCTTATGGGTAGTTTATTGATAGCTAAAACTTGTATATAGAATAAGCCACAGATCATTAATGTCTTTGTTACTAACATAGGTGATTAAATAATACAGAACTGAATGTAGTAGGACAAGAACAGCTGCTCTTCTTATCCCTGCCTCTTGTGTTTGGGCAAATTGTACTTTTTGCCGTTGCAAGTACCAAAAGTTCTATAAAATAATTCCTTTCACTGCCAGTATAAATCTCCTGTATGTTGATTATATGCGAAACTAATTATACTTCTGAATATTCCAGGTACATCTGAACATCCGGATGCTGAACGGGTAGTGATGGCATTGTTTTTGGATCATGAGCATGCTTATTCTTGGAAAGCTGCTTATTTCTACTATCTTAGCAGCAACAAACACTTTTTGGAACAAATTCTGGTAAATTCATAGTGAGACATAAGAAACGTTGAACAAGTTAATTGTGTAAACAGTACTATTTCAGAGCTAAACCTGTCCTGAGATATTTTGCTGCCTGAAACAAAAAGCAAGACAGTGCACTTAATTCTACTTTTAGGAACCAGTGGTATTTATAATTTTTTTAAACCAGAAATAGGCCAGCAACCTCCCATGTTGGCTGTTTACGTGGTCCAGATTGGAAAAAAGATCAGTCTGGAGTTCTCTGGCATAAATTATTCCAGAATTGTTTAATCTTGCACAGCCCTAAGGTGGGTACTCATGGACTCTGCTCCATACATGTCAACACAAGTCTGTAAATGAGTTTTTTCCATATATCCTGTATTCCTATAGTCATTTCAAAGCTACTCAAGAGTATGCTTTCCCTGGATTATTTTCATTCAGAATATTATCCTGTTTTTCCACCAGAGTCATCTTTAGATCTTCCATTATTATTCATCGATGGAAGAATAACATGCAGTTCACTCTCTCCAATTTTTCTGTTTTCATACATAATCTTGCAGGTGATACCAGTTTTCTATTTTATGAATAAAAGAGCTCAAATGTATGTCAGAATGTATGAATTTGATTTTATCTACGGGGCGTTTTCTGGCATATTAAACCTATACTTTCATCTCTCAGCCATAATTCCAGCATTCCATAGTCTTAGAATAAAGAAGTCATTTTTCCCCCTTATAGATTACAGCATTAACTTTACTGAAAAGGGAAGACTTCTCAAGCCTCAGCAGATTACTGACACAGGAATTCAGCTACCTCAGTCGCCTCCTGATATTGCTTGGTTGGACGCAGTGTTGCAGTTTAGAATCGGCAAAGATGCTGCTGCAGACCCTACATAAATCTCAGGCAAGTCAGACATTGCTGGAAAGCACACTTGTGCTCCCAGTTTGTTTCTCAAAAGAGAAGTCAGAGAACATGCTCATTTCCTTCTTTATTTTTTTTTTCCGGAGCAAGCATTAAAGAAGATGATTTCTCCCCCTCCCCGCTTTGTTTTTAACAGGGTTTCTACAATGACTTCTTTATTCAAGACTATGGAATGCTGGAATTATGGCTGAGAGATGAAAGTATAGGTTTAATATGCCAGAAAACGCCCCGTAGATAAAATCAAATTCATACATTCTGACATACATTTGAGCTCTTTTATTCATAAAATAGAAAACTGGTATCACCTGCAAGATTATG